ACGACATAAATATATTGACGGAAGGACAGACATAGAGTAAATACTTTAGGACACCACGGACTAGTCGGCAAGATCTTATAAAAAAAATTCAAATGGCATTGAACCATCATAGCCTAACAGAATATTTCCTTAAAACAAGAGTATCGGAAAAAGTCATGGAATTCCGGTCTTTTGCTGTACCAATTGCATAATAAATGTCATACAATTACAAAATGATTTGAACACTTTCAATGATTTGTACATAGATACGTTTAAATACAATGTACAAAAATAAGGAGATGCGATGTGATGTTATGATTTAAGGCACATTGGGAAATACCGTTGTGTTATAATAATTCCTCTAATTTGGTTTTTCATATAATATAATTTGTTCCAGTATGTGGCCAATCAAGCAAAAATTCAAAAACCTCCATTCCCCCAAAACACGGACTAAAACAAAAGAGAAAATTCAGCTCTAAGAATATAAAGATTGAAATTTTGATTCCAATAACTAAAAGCTAATGTAAATGTATAAAAACTCTTAGTGTAAGTTAAGAAATTATATATGACTGCAAAAATGTAATCTTTCATGATTATGAATATGTAGATTATTTATAATTATCATGCTTAAATTGACTAAAAGGGTGGACTTGATAGTAGAAAGGTCAGTTTTGCATATGCGGGAAGTGCTTATATTATACTAAAACACGTCTGATACGATTGGGAACGTAAAAACGTATGCCTTATGTCTACATATATATTATATATATATAATATAAAGCCTCTGTTGTAATTACTTAACCCTCGTCAAATTTTGAAAGTTTAGTATTATATGAGTTCAAATCGGTCAGTGCTATTCATTAGGAATGTATTTCTACGCAGACTTTCTTGTAATAATTTAACTTTAGTTAAGTGACAAATCAAGAAAAAGGTGCTTATTTTACGACTTTAATGGATCGGCATAACTGCAGGCTAAAACTTATGTTTGCAAAGCCAATACCATTTCAAACTGCTCAGAGCCTGAAAAAAAATATTTTGTCTCAAACAGTAAGGTCGATCACAGATTTTACTAGACAAGACTCGACATAATCTCGACAGTACGTAACTGTACGTAACTGGACTCGACTTTACTTAATAAGTCTGAGTACTTGATAATCTTGGTATTCTGAATATGGTCTCGACAAATGAGTAACAAGTCTTGACCAGTCTCGAACTTTAACTTTACTCTGACTGGTCTGAATCAGCCCATTCATACTAGGACTATATACTTATCTCGCGCAGTTAAAGTCGCGTTCTAACGTCTGTGATGTTGAGTATTATTACACTGATTGGTGGAATGGCTTCCAGTCCCATTAGCATAATAGTCCCAAATCTATATCAATTATATATTGATCTTACCAAGGATTTGTATGGTGAGTTTCACTATACAAATCCTTGATCTTACAGAATTCCAGATTATTTGGTAGTTTGGTTTATTGCTGCCAAATCCAAAGGATTTAATGTATAGGTAAAAAGCTAGTATTTTCAGTTCGGACTGAATTTAGATATTCAACTTTGAAAATTTCTAAAACTTTTCCAAATCAACTTGGATTTTCCTAAAACTCGACAGCCATCTCAACTATATATTGATCTTTCAGAATGCCAGGTTATTTAGTAGGTTGGTTTATTGCTGTCAAATTTAAGGATTTAATTAATAGGTATCTATCTGAATTTAGTCCAAACTGAAAATTCGAGCCTTTTTAACAATTAATTAAATCTTTAAGTTTGACAGCAATATTAAACCGAACTAACAAATAACCTGGCATTTTGTAAGATCAATATATGATTGAGATAGATGGGCTGATTCAGACAGAGTCAAGACCAGTCGAGTCTAAATATAAAGGTCAAGACTGGGTCGAGATTGGTCGAGCATTTATTTATTATGGTCGTTTTCACTAACTTTTGAAAATATGCACTCTGTTTTATATTCACGGAGTGGTTACGACATTTGTAAATTAAAATTTTTCGAGATAAAAAGTAATAAACTTCATTTTGTAAAGTTTTGAGACCACTCCGGCCCAGTTTTTCACATAAATTCACTTTTTTTGACATATTTTTAATAGACATTGTAATTCAGTGAATTTCCGGATCTGTTTCTCCATCCGATTGGATTTAGCTGGGCTATATGACTTATGTGTTGACTCTGAAATTTATGCTCGAAATACAGAAACATATAATTATTTGCAAACAGTTTAATCGTGGTATTTCAGAATTAACACTGCCCTATGAGGCTCTCATGGTTCCTTTATTTAAAACATTTTTCAATTGATGCAGAGACATAAACTGTATAAAAAGTATTGAACCAAGCCTATGGAAGTCGTTCCTAGAATTTGGCTTGTACAAGTATTTGATCGTGTAGAGGGTATGCGGTATGTAGGAATCATTTTACTCACCAAGCTATTTCTGAAGAAGACGACGATGCAAACGATGTCTGAACAATATATGTAAAGTCAGAAATATTGGGAAAATTATTTCGTACAAATATAATACAGTATGGAGTTCTAAAAATGTTAATGCACCCTAGCAGCTATTCTTTCAGAGGGTTCCATAGTAGGCTGCTGATGTCAAAATCCCTACACATACAATCGCAATGTTCATAACAGAAAAATATACGCTAACCAACAGTACTTCACTTGAACCATTTTATTCAGTTACCTTGTGAAATACTTGCCGCTGACAACCGGTATATAATTAAACAGAAACAGAATTATCTTTGATTCTTTTTATGAAACCGTAAAGTTCAGAAATATATCTTTAAATGTACATCTAATATAGAAAATATCAATTGAAAGCAATTTTCTGTTTCGTCTCTGCCTTTTTCTTGTTGCCAACCTGAATTTCCCTAAAAATGGGCATGTGGTGATTACATTTTTTTCAAAATGACTCGAAAATGAATTGCTATTGTTAACTGTTTCATTAAAGGAGTAATTTCTTGTTTATTTCACAATGAAAATCTCAACTTTGACCTCAAATTAAAAAAAATGCACCATTTTTCGATTCAGCCACCAGGCAAAAATTGAAGTTTAAACATTTTTCTAAAAGAAAAATCATAATTCAGCATGCAGGTAGGGTGGTCCATTAAAGTTAAAAATTTGTTGGCTTGGTCACTCCACTTTTTCGTCACCTGTGAAATTTTAGAATTGTACCAGTTTATATCGCACATTACTATTCTTTTTAGAAGCATATCTATGCAGTCTCTGTTGTAAATACTTAACCTACGTCATATTTTTGAAACTTGAGAATTGTACAAGCGTTGTTCGGTTTAAATTGTATAACTGTAAAGAATGTTTAAGTTAAATCAGAATAGATTGATACCATTCATTTTACGTCATCATAATCATACTGATAAAGGATATCTTTTATCCGAAATATTTATAGATACTTACTTTTAATGTTTGCTTTTTTTCTAATATTGGTGTTGTTTTGTACACTTTTTAGGTGTTTATATGATTTACTTATTGTGTACAGGTATCGTTACTCGTACCGATTCAGCTCCTTCGTAAGAATTGACACTTTCTTTACATGGATTTATTTTTATTTATCTTGATAATTTCATTTTCAAGTTTGATTTTATGTCCGCAATGTTCTCCTTTTATTGTAGCATATATCTTTTTTTTGTTGGTTTTTGTTTAATTCCGTTATTTCTTCCAATCAGAATAAAGATTTGTGACAGCACGCATGCCGTTACCATAGTGAAGCGTCCTTTTTTTGGGTTACAAACCGATATTATACTGACAGGGTCAGAAAAATAGCAACAATCAACATTCAATCTATTTAGGCGTGGATCGGTTTGAAGATAAACTTATGCAGTTACTAAATTAAATTGTACAAATGCTAAATATAAATAAGAAGATGTGGTATGGGTGCCAATGAGACAACTCTCCATCTAAGTCACAATGTGTAAAAAGTAAACAATTTTAGGTCAAAGTACGGCCTTCAACACGGAGCCTTGGCTCACACCGAACAGCAAGCTATAAAGGGCCCCAAAATGACTAGTGTAAAACAATTCAAACAGGAAAACCAACGGTCTTATCAATATAAAAAACGAGAAACGAGAAACACTTATGTTATATTTTATATATTCACGCAATATTTCGCTAAACAAATTAGCTTCATCCGGCGCTGATGAATCTAATTTGTCTCTACGATATAGTACGTCTAGTATTTACATCCCTGGCTTTCAAAGTGGATTAGAGGTTTCCTGGTGAAGCTAAATCCAGAAGAGCGCTTCGGAGCACAAAGATTATTTTTTACTATGAACTCGGTCTATGATTTCGCGCTGAGGACTTGAGTCCAAAGCTTCAAATTGTATGCCTCACTTGAAATAAGGGTCACGCTACGCCACTGTCGAACCATACACTCATATACTGGTCCAATTTATACATTCTCAGTAATTTGTACCTTCCAATGAAGAAGACATGATTATAAAATTTAAAAGAGCTAATTTGATTAAAACAAATTTAGATTTTGAACAATCTAAGAAGTAGTTCAGAAATAGAGAAAAGGGAACGCCTGTCCCTCCCGGATCAGCTGAGTTCACTATAGGGTTTTCATGATTTGTCTCTGCTAAATCGATTTGCGAGACTTGAACATCGATAAACTATGGTAGTCCTAATTTTCTACGGAGTTCATATCGCTCAATCTTTAGGTTTTTAGTAGTTTATGGTGAATTTGTTTTTGTTATCTTCATTTTTTTTAATTGCCCATAATGTTGTCTGCTTTTCTTTAAGTTATGACTTTTCATTTCTCTGTGACATTTTCTTACCTTTTTTAATATAAATTAATAAATCTGACCGGAATGTTTCATAAACACTAATATCAAAGAATCAAGGCAAACCAAAACAATTTAGTATGGTTTATGCAGGTTCTAAGTATGCCTATTGCCACATTATTCTCAACTTTCCAACAATACACAACAGTTTATAATGACAGTGCTTTCATACTTTAGCAATAAGACAAAAACAGTTTATAGATGAGAGCACTTTAAAAAAAGAAAACGTAGAAAGAAAATAATGATGTCTTGTCGAAATTTTTTATGTATCCTTGCTGGTTCATTTTTCCTTATTTCACAATATAATTGTACTATGAAAGGTACCTTAACACTACTTCAAAAGAACCAAAGTCGAAGCTTTTGCCAAGCCATTTGAACTTCATACTCCTCAACTGGCCATTGAATAAGAAGAACATCTTTCCAAATGAAGGAAAATTTTACGGGAATATTATCCAAAGCGATATCTCTTGTAATAACAACAATCTTCTGCAGATTTTTTGAAAACTTCTCATACTTTGCACGCTCGATTTCAAAACGACTCCATTCATTTTCGACAATAGATGGCGAGACTATGAATATAATGTGTCTGCATCTGTTAATGGATGTAGCTCTTTCCGTCGCAATCGATTCGCCTACAATGAAACCTCTGACTTCGATACAGATTTTAAATCCCCATTCGTTTTCTATTTTATCTTGCAATTCTGTTACAAAACAAACACAGTCATCGGAATATGAAACATAAACGTCATAATCAAAAGTCAGCTCAAGACCTTTCTCTGCAAACCTCCGGAAATTTCGGAAGAAAAAGAAAATTATTCTCCACCGAAAATTGTACAAGAGAGTAATACAAATCAAACTTGACAAGACAGAAACTAATAATGAAATGCCTAATCTGACCCATACGGTACTATCACAGTCAACGATAAAATGGTGAAAGTTTTCAGCGACTCTTGTATAGTTGATATTATTACTAGAAGCAACCAAACAAGAGTAGTTACCATTGTTATCTAACTTAACTTTAGTTGTAAGAATCCAACGCAGAAATGTTCTTGTATCACATGAACAAATTAATCTGTTATTACTGAGATATAATTTAAAAGTTCCAAGTTTTTTGTGTTGGGTATCAATCCCATCGAGTGTGTGCTTTCCAACTGTTGTTAACTGATTGTACGACAAATCGAGTTCTTCGATGTTTTCCAACTTTGTAACAGCATTTGGAACTTTATCAAGCAAATTATGAGATAGATTAATATGTTTAAGGTTTTGGAGCTGTCCAAGGGTTTTCAATTTCCAGATATAGTTATGTGATATATCCAAAGTCATTATATTTGGACAAAAACTAAATGTTGTAGTATTAGTTCGTAAAACATTGTACAGTTTTGTCTCTTTCAGGATAAGAGTTTTTAGGTGGATTAAAAGTGGAATTTTCTTCGCTCCAATTGTAATATCTGAACTTATGCCTGACAAATCTAAATATTCCAGACTATTAAATCCCTCAATAGTTAAATATGGAAAGATGTCTGTTTCAAAGTAAGATAATTCAAAGTGACGTAGGGAACTATTTATCACTTTAATTACCCTAAAACCATTTGAAGACATAAGATGACTTAATCTCATAAGCTGCATTTTTTTATTCGAAAATTTTACTGTTATAGGAACTATTTTTCTCGTCCATTTTCCTTGAACTTTTGTATGGTTGTCTTTTGTCGTTACGTCAAGAAAAATTGGATTCTTGAATCTACGTGGAAAATATGAAAAATCAAATATTTTGATGTTGGTCATCTTCCTAACAAAAATGAAGAAATCGAGCGCCCAACTATCTAAACTAAAACTATTGGCCGACATTATCAGATTTTCAAAGCACTGCGGATGTTGAAACAAAACTAATGATCTGTTTTTAACTGATATGATCTCATTGTCAGATAAGTCTAAAGTTGTTATACAGATAGTTGATATATACTTCATCATCTCTGGTGTTAGAGTAACTGACTCTAGCCCGTGCTTAAAACCAATATGAGCTATCCCACGAAAAAGAATTGCGTCCATTGATTTATTCTGAAACGGGCTTAAAAGTTGTAGAGCCTGTGTCAAATGAATATTGCTGTTAGTAAGAATCAGGACTTTTAGATGTGGAAATGGAATTAAGACGCCAACTTCTACAACGACAAAATCTTTACAAGTTGTCATGTAGAATTCCTTTATATGTACCGGCATTTCTGAAAATGTTCTATTGTATAAAAAATTAACGTGGCAGTAGTCAAATCTTAACTTGTGTAAATTGTGCAGTTTCTTGAATTGCTGTCCGAACGTTGCGTTAAACACAAGATCAATTGATAGTTCACGCAAAGGACAGAGTTCGCCAACGGGAATTTTATACGGGGTTCATTCTGATGTATTCATATTTCTACTAATATCTAAAGCTGATAAATTCTTTAAGGAATCAAACACTTCAGGGGATACGATTCAGTTACATCTAGATAATTGTTAGACATAGACAAATATTTCAATAATGATAGGCCGTTGAAAGCCTTTTCATGCAACAGTCTTATAACATTGTTATCAAGCATTATATGTTCTAGATACTTATATCTAAGAAATATGTTGGCATCCAGTCTGGTCAGTCTATTATAACTTAAATCCAATTTCTTTATATCAGTCGGTAAATTGATCGGAACAGATGTTAATCCTCGTTCTTTACACTGGGCCTCTTTGTATCCTAACACATCTGATGTGATATTGCATTTTGAAAACACAGTTTTACATAAATAAACAGATACACAAAACTATGAAGATACGCATCTTTTCCAAGTGAAAGTCAAGGCAATATGAAAATTTATAGATGAAGTACTTCCTTCCATAATCAACTTGATCAACAATACTCATGGTACCATGGTTACATAAAAACAATATCTTAAATGGTCCATCACGTAATTAAAATTAGAGATTTATTTTTAAAAAGTGTTTTGTGATCACCTGTTATATAAAAAGTTTGTTTTATTTCAGAAGGATTTACTTGTATACTTTCTAGAATAACATGTAAAGGAACATATTATAAACCGCACTTCATTGATGTTTTAACAAAACCTCTATACATTATATGTCAACGATTGAAATAAATCTAAACACTCCAATTCCCTCTTACCAGTAACCGAAGTTCTTTATAGATCTTGATATTTGAATTTTTCCTGATAATCGCCATACCAAAATTTATGATAAACGGTTTTCTCCTTTGTTTATTGTCCTGTCCTTGATGGTGATGTTCTGAAAAATTAAATTATGTTAAAGGTAACAAAGGGATGACTGAAAACTTGTTTGGCCAGTTCTTTGAAAAATGCAGTATTTCATTTGCTCTACAGGGTTGTGTATTTCATATGCGCCACAGGGTTGTATTTCAATTGCGCCACAGGGTTGTATTTCATTTGCGGCACAGGGTTGTATTTCATTTGCGGCACAGAGTTGTATTTCATTTTGCGCAACAGGTTGTATTTCATTTGCGCCACAGGATTGTATTTCATTTGCGCCACATGGTTGTATTCCATTTGAGCCACATGGTTGTATTTCGTTTGCGCAACAGGTTGTATTTCATTTGCACCACAGGGTTGTATTTCATTTGCGGCACAGGGGTGTATTTCATTTGTTTCACAGGGAAGTATTTCATTTGCGACACAGGGTTGTATTTCATTTTTGGCACAGGGGTGTATTTCATTTGCGCCACAGGGGTTTATTTCATTTGTGCTACAGGGCATACGGAACTTTTACCACCACCCGCAGTGCAAATTGGACCACAATCGATATTGATAAATTTTAAATTTTGATTAGCTGTCAGTAAACAAAAATAAAATTCTTTTACATTTGCATCAAGTTTGAAAGTTCAATTTTTAAGCTATATATAATTTCTATTTTGATAAGCATGGCAGAAGATTGTTCAATTTTCATTTGAAAAATCACCCGGTACACGCCCTATAATTTCATACAATACAAAACCAGCAATGTGTGCACACGGGTTTTTTATAATTATATAAATACACATTACACCTTTAATAGAAACAAATTCATTCGCATATATATTAATTCTCTGGTTTGAAATTCATCCAACGATGCAAATTTCATATTTTACAATTTTTATTTTAATCTATTCCCTTTTTATCCTAAAATCGAGTTGAGATCATTTTCTGAAGATGGCAAGTAAAAATCTAGGTCATATCAGGTAAATATTCATGGACACAAAACAAAGGCTAATTTCTGTAAATACAAGACCATGTGCTGACTTCTATTACCTTCTGTATTTGGGGATTTTCTTTCTTCGTGACGTTACCACATATTCATTCTTTTTCAATTCTTTTTTTTACATTCTCATTTCCATGCATAAAAGATTAAAATGGAGGGAAATATATTCTCTAAGATAAACAAATTTGTAAGAATTAGACGAGGGCAGTATATGTGAACTATTTACTAAATTCATATCATCGGTTAAATAAGCTCCACAAAGAAGAAAGTACGTAGTGAAACAGTATCAGTAAGCACACATTCATCATAAAGACAAGGTGTGCCAACAGGACATGAGTATGATGTAATATGAATAGCATAATCAGTACAATAACATTAGAATTATACTCGAAAACAGAGGTCTGCGACCCCTTTATTTCGACTACCATGCTTTTTAAAGATGTCCGCGTGAAGTCCACAAATTTAAAAATGTGTTTAGTCACCTGGTGTGAATTTCAGATGGAATAGTCATGTTGAAACTTTCATTTAGTATATCTATCTCCTATTTTTCTCAACCATTAGTCTGTGCTTTGATTTACTTCAATCTAGGAATTTTCATGTAATGTAGGACTAATATATTATTATTGTTAGTGTAATAGTCCTGGAATTAATATATATTTCAAATTCCCCTAATTGAAATGACTCCAAATTTCCCGAAAAGGAGTCAATACGTATGGATAGCTTTCGTTTACCAAATCTTCATGTTTAATAAGACATAAACCTTAATTTTTTTCTCATATCAATAGCTCGTCTATGCCAATAAGTTTAACTAAGTCTCGTTTTTAATGATTAATAAACGAAATGCATCGCCGTGAGGCAAAGGTAGCAATCAGGGTTCAAAGCAGTTTTTGAGGAAATGTCTCAGAGTAATCGTGGCTGAAAAGTTAGTGGAGAATTCATATGAAGTTAAAATAAACAAAAAAAAATCATTTTTTGTACCTCAAAATCTTCTTTTTGTCAATATTTATTAAACCATTCAGAAGCGTACGAAAAGTATAAACAGTTTAGTGTACTTTATGTTTGACATCGGGAGTATACATATGACGTCATATTGTTGAGATGCCAAAGACGATGAAACAGTTTTGCGGACATTTTCATTTATGGCATTAGTATTTTTAAGCCAAAATATTTACTAAAATGGAATTTATTTTAATATGTGGCATTAGAATGGATATAACTGTATTGTATTTTAAGCTCGCTAGGAAAATTCGATTTGCGACAGTAAAATCGACGTTTTACGAAGGCCAAGCTTAACAGTTATCTCTTAAATCGGATATGTTATTCTTTTTTATTACAAATTGTAAAAGTTGAAACAAAATTACTGTTAAAATAAACTTTTTTATTAATGACTATATTAGTTGCATTATTTTTCGATGGACGTATTCAATAGGTTATTGTTACATGGGGATTTACATCTAGATACTCTGTTGTCTTGAAAACGCATGAAATATTGGCACTGGAAACTAAGCAACCATCAATAAATTAATCTAGATACTCCTGATCCACATTTTGATTTTGATTTTGATTGTCAATTAATTGCACATTGCTTTAAAACAATCATGTTACTGAAATCAAGGATGTTATATCTAATATAGCCTTATAACCCCCTTGCTGCAATTACTAAAAAGCAATTTCAAAACTTATTAGTTTTCTATATTGTGTTTTGTGTACTGTTGTTCGTCTTTTCGGCGTTTTTCGTTTTTTTTTGTCATGGCATTGTCAGTTTATTTTCGACTTATAAGTTTTAATGTCCCTTTGGTATCTTTCGCCTCTCTTTTATTATCCACAAAGTATTTGTATAAAATATAACAAGACAGGGGATTTAATGATTTATAATAATTTAAAAATTTGACCTTTTTCGTATTTATGAACCTAAAATGTTACAATGTCATGGGCTTATATTATTGTGTTTTGTGTACTGTTGTTCGTCTTTTTGACGTTTTTCGTTTTTTTTTTGTCATGGCATTGTCAGTTTCTTTTCGACTTATAAGTTTTAATGTCCTTTTGGTATCTTTCGCCTCTCTTTTATTATCCACAAAGTATTTGTATAAAATATAACAAGACAGGGGATTTAATGATTTATAATAATTTTAAAATTTGACCTTTTTCGTATTTATGAACCTAAAATGTTACAATGTCATGTGCTTATATTATTGTTTACTTAGGGTTTTTAATCATTTAAGAGTGTCAACATTTGCTTTACAAACTCGG